TCTTACATACTAATAGAAATAAATGGGAATTACGTCTAAATATACTGAGTATTCCACCCGTACACATCTGTTATGTATTCAAATTCATTGAAACTGAGGCTATTAGGAATGGAATACCTTAAATTTTGGCCATATCTTGAATATAAGATGAACAATTTGTCAGCGCAACTCCTCCTAAACCGCAGGAAAAAAGTTTCATCAACCTTTCGCAGATATTTAGAAACAATGTGTACATGTAGCTGTGTATATTGCCAGAAAATAATGATTCCATTATTTTTGTCCTAATAGTTTTGGCTATGATTGAAGAAACTTTCCAGCCACGTAAGAAGAAAATACACTGGAATCAGCTTTGGTGAAGTAATTTTATGTGAAATATTTTATGACCTTAATAGACCCCTATTGATGTTGAGATCAAAATATTAATGATTCAACACACGCCTACAAAAAATCTTGGATAGAAGTACACAAAAATTTCTCCCTCCCCCCTCCCACAACCCCCCCCCCAAAAAAAAAACAACGCACACACACACCTCAAATTAGTACTTTGCCTTAAATAATTTTAAAAGATTTGAATGTCCTTTTATGCAAGAATTTTTGATGTGAGGATTTTTTGCAAATATTACCCCTTTTTGAATTATACTGTGTATTTTAACTGCACCATGTCATTCATTATGTGTTGCATTGTCAAGTTTGGGGGGAAGCGTGGGGTATGTGAGCTTGCTCACTTTTTCTTTCATTGAAGAGTTTAAGTCAGTTAATCGTGTCTTTTGAGTAATTTCGTATCAATCGACGACTTTTGAGTTATTTGCTACTAGAATTAATAGAATTTGCTTGTCAAGGAATTTTGGTAGTTCATAGTGCCCTCCCAACTGAAAATGTATGGTTGTGCCCCCTCAAAGTGAAATTGCTTCCTACGGGCCTGACATGTACATGTATATACAAACAACTACATGTATCAAATTGACTGCAGAAATAACTAACAATCTCTTCATCTTCTTTTTGTTACTATATTATATGAATGATTTAATAATTGGTTGCCATAATTATCGGGGACTTGCTTCAAATAACATTAAACGTAGAGATATTTTCAAATGGTTTCGAGATAAATTTGATATTACTTTCTTGATAGATACACACAGAAACAGAAACACAAACTATTTGGAAAACTAAATGGGGATTTAAAAAGGTGTTTAGTTCAAGCAGTAGCAGAGGAGATGCAAAGTTATTTAAAAACTCCTTTGAATTTGAAATATGTAAAAAAAAAAATTATTGGCACAGATGGGAATTTCATTATTTTAGATTTAAAATGTTTCAATAAAAATTTAACCTTCGTTGCTTAATTTATACGGTCCGAATGAGGATAATCCAAACTTTTATACTTTAATACACCGCAAGATAGAAGCAATTAGGAATGACTGTATTATAATCGGGGAAGATTTTAACGTACCGTTAGACTATCAAAAAGATACTAGCAACTACAAACATAAAAAAAAATCCTAACGCCAAAGAACGTATTTTAGAAATGATACCAGATTTAAATCCGATTGATATAAGGAGGGAAAATAACCCTGATATACCTAAGTTTTGCATAAGAAAATAAAGGAATCGTCTTGAAAAAATCTCCTGCTCAAGAACACAAAATCCATGATTAGTCAAACTATTATAGATATCTTCAGGTAGTGTAGATTCAAATTTGTTCAATTTTAGGGTGGGTAGGCAGAGAGATCAGAGTTTTACATAGGAAAATATAGGGTTGATTGATTGTATGTTGTTTTATATCCCGTTCGAGAATTTTTCACTCATATAGAGACTTCACCATATACGGGTTAAGAGCTTCAAATTTAGACCTTTACTTGGCACCCAGGGCCATTGAGCAGTGAGGGTTCTTTATCATGCCTACACCTGCTGTGACACAGGGTCATCCGAAGGACCTGCAACCTTCACTTCAAAGAGCCAAGCGCTTGACGAGGGAACAGTTGCCACCTATTTTTTATCGACTTAGGTCAGTCGCAGCCAGGGCTTGAACCCACGACCTTCCGATCACGGAGCAAGCGTTCTACAGAATAAGTCACTTTGACGACGGAAAACATTGGAAAAAAATCTTTGAATTCCTTCTGTTCAAGTACAGCAAAGCCATGATTTAGTAATATTGATATTGAAGGATCCTGAGGTAGTGTAAATTACAGTTTGCCCCCCCCCCCGTTTATTACTGAACTGATTTCTGCTTCCTCCCGGCCAATGAGCTCAGGTGAGCGATGAGGCCCATGGGCCTCTTGTTACGATTACTGCGGTATTGTTATTCACCATTATCGCACGAATTTGAGTCCACGGAAGAATTCTGTTTTTTTTTTTTTTTTACCAAAGGTATTACACATGTACAGGTTTCATTTTGAATTTCCTCTGTCTCTACACTTAAATCCGTAGCACTCGCTGTGCTTGCTATAGAGCTTATTTTCCCACTCAATGCATTTGCTATGAAACAAAAGCAAGTCATAATTTTTTCTTCAGCGGTTCTTCATGAAAATATCAGCGATAATAAATTCCTCGCGTATTTTTAAGTATCCACACTACTCCAGATGGACTAAGATAATTCGTCAAGGTCTTTGCGCTTAAAACATTGTGCTTTATATGGTAGCGCTAGGCAAATAAAGGTTTATCATTTCATAATTAACGCTTAGTCAACAATTATATTTGTAAGTATTGAAAAGAAAGAAATTTTAAACGTCAATTATTAGCTATTTCACCATAAATATTTTAAAGAAAGAAAGACAAGTATCAAAACATCATTTCATGTTTCCATTTTAAGGACATATGCAACGTAACTTATTAACTGATAATTTTTCAATATATTCTTAATTTAAGATTATAGTGCCATCAGATGTTCGTAGACCAAAAAATCACCATACCAGGGATTTAAAAAAGATATCAATTGTTAAAAAATCTTGTAAAATTAAAAGAAAAATACAGAAAAATTACTAGAGATATATTCTAGATGTTTTGTTCATCCAAACTAGTAATAGAAGAAGTGTACAACATCAAATATAGACATTAAAATGTAGCACACAGTTCCTCTAAGTATTGGAACTCTTCAACTCCAGGGAAAAAGATAATAAAGTTCAAAATACGTTGCATGTGTCCTTCAACATAATGCAGATTAAAATAATTTATAAACAAGGTACTTAATGTTAATCTCATTCTATATTTTTTTGCCAAGTTGTGTTAATTTCATAAATAAAGATTCAAAATATACCACCGTATGTTACATGGATCAGAAAAAAATTCGGATCACTTTCGTTTGTAGAACTTAGTATTACAGGACCAGAAACAAACACCTAAAATTGTCGGTTAAATAAATGAAAAAAAATTATGTGAATAAGGTCAAACTTTCAGGTCAAGATCATGAAATCAAAAGTGAAAGGTGTTGTCACATGTAATGTACATGTAAAATCATTCAAAAGTTATTTCAATGTTAAAAAAAATTGCAAAGGACTGAGTTGTAATTTTAAGGTCAAGGTCACAAGATCAGAAACCATAATATATTTGCCTTGTAACAGGCAATCAACGTCAGATATGAAAGCCCTATCTTATCTCATTCAAAAGTTATCACCAATGTTCACATTTTTAAAAAGTAGGTCAAACTTCAACGTCAAGGTCTTTTGGTAAAAAATCCTTTTTTTTTTTTTTTTTTTTTTTTTTTTTGGAAAGGTCTTGTCACAGGTAATGTACATGTGAAGCATTAAATTCATTTCTTTTCTCATTCAAAAGTTATGACGAAGGTTTAAGTTTTTGTGACAGACGGACAGAGAAATGAAAGAAAGGTGGCGTACAAGGCGAGTACAATCCCCCGTTCTGGGACAATATACATGTATTTCTCAATTTTCAAAGTTCACGGAAAACTTATATTTTTTTAAAATAATGTTTTCCGTAATGTCATCTTCAACACATTTGATATGGTTATTTTATTGAATGACTTTTTGATTGATAATTTGTTTTTAAAGTTAACAGTAAAGTATATTTCGTTGAAAATGGGTTTATTAGAGCCATAAATAAATGATTTTGAATATGAATGGGTCAAGTCTCCATTCTTCAGTAACGTTTATATGACGGAAAAGTAAATGTACAATCTATTTCATGTTTCAAAAAAATGGAGTCTGAACCCATTTTGTATGAAAATCGAACATTTCTGAAAAAAATTACGCTTCAACAAACTCTTTTATTTAAATCACACTGACATCAAACAAGACAAACAGACTTCGTTGTGTAGTGGTTAATGCGTTCAGTCTTACACCTAACCATGAAATTTGGAGAGAGTTCGAATCATGCGTGAAACTTTTTTTTTCTTTTTTACATACCTTAAAACATTAGTGAAAAATAAATTATTTGTCAATAATTTATTCAACAAAATATATGAAACAAATGTGTAAAAGATTATATTGACAAGATAATTTTCGAAAAATATAACTTTTCATGAACTTTTAGAATTGAAAAATAGTCTTTCTGAGCGGGGGATCGTCCGCGCCTTGCACGCCTTCATTCTTTAATGTCCCCTACTTTCGAAAAGGGGGATAAAACTCTTATAAATTCTTAGAGTATATAAAGCCATTTTTTTATAGCGATTTACTAAACAAAGCTTCGTATTAAATTGCTACTTTTAAAACTATTTGAAATATGTAGGCCAACCACCGTACCAGTAAATTAACTTCCATTTTAATTACATAATTTATAACATGATTGACATAACATGGTGAAAAACTATCACAAGACATTATCCTGAAATTAAAATATCACCAAATGCATGTATACTGTAACTTTTATGTTTCTGATATGAAATCATTCAATTGTCTATAGATTTCTTTTAGCGCGGCCTACTCGGATATCATTCTTCACACTAAAGAGACACACAAAACAGAGATTAAACAGATAAATCCAGATAGGTTTTAAAAATCGTTATACAATATTTTTATGCTACATTTAACATATGTTTTTCCTATGTTTCAAAGACTACCAGATAACAAATTAATTGGAGGTGTCTCTGTTTGGAGAAGAAAGGAGTTCGAAATGGTGAATGGATGGTCAAATTTGTTCATTAACTGGGGAGGAGAAGATGACGATATGAGTTACAGGTACTGTACCTTAAATTTTTCTTTATTTTATGTAGATGTCACTGACATTTATTATAGTTATGCATGATTACGAATTTTAGCATCTGTTTGCATATTCTTACATGCTTTACAAAGAAACATTTAGATAACAAACAGCATTCAAGCTCAAAGTCCATTAAAACAATACAAATCGGGAGCAGAGCAAACACGGACCTCCAAAAACAGACGCAAGATCAGGTGCCATGGATGAGTGAGCATTCCCTGCCGACCGGTCACACCCGCCGTGTGCTCCTTGTCATGATCGGTAAATAACAGAAAAATCCGTCGACAATTCAGAACGTTTAACTGCCAACAACATATAAAAAGTGATGATAACGAAAAGTGATCATCTAAAACAACCAGAAACTACAAATCTGTGAACAGCCGGAAACTCCAGTGATGCTAGTAAGCATCCCATATCGATTTCTCACACCTGCCATGAGCCTTATGTATTGATCACATAGATAGAATTCCGAAGTCAAATTTATCATAAAAACAAAGTCTAACAATTGCTATGAAATATATCAGTCAAAATACCACCAAATAAATATAGGATCTCCCATGATTTGTAGTGGAATATAAATCTTATCCAACGAGTTGTGTGTTTTTTATCCCCGAGCCTTGGCAAGGGGATAAAAACACACAACGAGTTGGATAAAAGTCGTATCCAACTACAAATCATGGGAGATTCTTTTTATTCCATGTTTAATACTTCACAACCAATGTTTTACATTGTTTTATATATGACTCCACTTTATTTTACTTCATCACGCTAACGCAAAAACCATTGTGACGTCACAACTGCACTTAACTGTGGGTTATGAAAAAAATATCCAATGAGTCATATCCACGGGATAATGGGGTAAACATGGGATAATAGGTCATATTTACTTAGAAGGTCATTAAATATATAACGACCATAGAATTTACAAAATGCTGAATTTTAACGAAGTTATTGAAATCCCATCCTCACAATGTCAAGGTTTTGTGATTTCGGAACTCCACACAAACCCTTGACATAAGTCGTTATTTTAAAGTTGGGCTTGTGGTTACGCATGACATAATGGGTAATAATAACTAACCAGTGAGAATATATTTTTTCGAATCCGTCGTTATCAAATTGCCTAACTCCGGAGCATATCTTTTGTGATTGTAAGGAGGACGATCTTCAAAAAATAATCCCCGGTGTTTCTTTCAGAATAACTAGTCACAAATCGGATCCTACAAATATTGACACTTTCCATTTTAAAGACGAGTCATAATTGTTTACATAACTTACCTACAATAAAAACTGTTTTGTGATTGGTTCCAGTCCTAGACCAGGAACAAATGAAATAGTAGTTTTCTAGCCCAACTTTTAAATAACGACTTATGTCAAGGGTTTGTGTGGAGTTCCGAAATCACAAAACCTTGACATTGTGAGGATGTTGAAATGCATATAACATCAACTTATCGGTCAGCAGCCTGCTTTCAGTTTAAGAACTGGTCTTACTCAGAGCACACATTTTAGAAAGTTGCAAGACATAAACATCATATGTAAGTGTTAGCGGAATATTACTACATAAATAAGGAAAGTTGACGATGGAAAAGCTTGCCATCTTGCTTGTAATACAATTTAGTTGTTATTAGTTGGCCATTACCGTCTGTAGTCAGTAAAACATCCACATCTGAAACAGATGTGGTAGATTATGAGAGATCTTTGATTTTGAGTTCACTGGGATATATCGGGTTCGACATTTGAATGGAAGTAGCTATTGTTAATTGATAGAATGTCGTCGATGTATCTGAATGTCGATTTAAAGGCCAGAGCAAGTGTTTTCTTCATTTTATGTAGGGTTTTTTTTTTGTGAATTCTGCTTCAAAGGAATACAAAAACAAATCGGTAAATAAAGGGGCACAATTAGTGCCCATCGAAATTCTAGCAGGCTTTTGGAAGACATGATTTCTATAGTCTACATAGATGTTTTCAATAATGAGCTCCAGCATTCTTTTAATATCAACTTCAGAGTACTTGCGTTTGGAATCAGAGTCATTTCTAACAAAGTAATTTTGTTGATGACCAAATCATATGACATGAAATTTCCGATTTCCGATTTTATCGAAGAAACAGTTGTTATGATATCAAAAAGCGTATAGTTTTAACTTATGAGGAATGGTTTTATAAAGTGTAGAAAAGTCACACCTTTTGATGTTACTGCCGTTTGAAAAATTCTGTGATTTTGAAATCTTAAAGTTCTTTGTAGTTTTTGAGAATCTACATTTGATTTGCACAATTTCTCGAGTATTCTGTAGCACATTACCTCTTAATTATCTCCTTAAGAGAAGTTAATATTTTTGTGAGAATGAAAGATAGAAGCTTGATAGAGCATTTGCTGGAGCTGGCAATGTATCTTTGCTTTTAAGGATTTTTATAAAGTTTAGGAATCAGTGTAGGTAGGGTAGATCGAACTCACCTTCTTTGAATGTAAAAAAGTATTATAAAGACTGAAATGTGATTTTGTAGAATTTCATCCTAAAAAAGTGAACTGTAAGTATGATTTGGATTTTCAGATGTAGAGTTAATAACAAGTCCTAAAATACAGTTATAATAATGAGCCTTACGAATAAAGACGATATTGTTACAAACTCTGTCTGCTGGAACCATAACACATTGTTCATGCAGCCTTTCTAATTCTTTATCATCTCCAATTTAGTGAAAGCAGATGGTTAGTATATTGCCTTTTAACTTTCTAACAAATTCTTTAATATCTTTCTAAAACACTCAATCTATTCTGACACAGTGTTCAGGTCTTTCCCTTCATTTTCGCCAGATGTTTGGCACTAATCTTCGGCATATATAACTCATAATAGAAATGAAGCTCTGTCGCCAATTGAAAGATCGGGGTTCCCTGTATTCAGGGCATTTTAAAATGATTGCTTTTTAGGTCGTCATTTTCAACTACATTAACATAAAAAGTAATGAATTGTCCGTCGGTGCCATTGTTTAAAGAAGAGGAAGAGCAAGAGCACTTAAGAGGATTTTGTTTTAGATGTTCAATATCTAAGAACTGTAAGGTTTGTGCTTGTGTATAATTCAAAAGTTTGGAAGCAACCGTTTGGAAATATCTGTATGAAATACAGGTTGAAAACTTCAACTTGAAATATGTTGGTATGCAAAACTGAACTTTTTTATGGATACGAATCTTACTAATCCTCACAGCATCTGTTCCTTTGTTGGCAAATTCAAGTTTAAGGAACCGACGGGTTGGGTCGGAATTATTTTCTTCAGACATACGTGGTGGCTTAAAGTGTCTGTGCTGGACAACATCCATAATCACAAACACTAGCTTGTATTCTGCAGATAAGCAGGCAGCTAAAGAATCTTAAGTATGCACGTGCTTTAACTTCTTCAAATAGTCGAATAAACAAAATGTGAAGAAACGAACAGTGATCGATCTTTTAAAAAAAATCTATAAACAATGCAAATCCGTGAAGAAGTCAAACACGGACCTCTGGAAATTCTAGTGGTGGGATCATGTGCCTAGGAGGATTAGGCATCCCCAGGCGCGTAGCAGCCTATACGCAAATACGCAAGTGCGTACACATCATTTTCAGAAAAAAGAAAGAAAAAGAAAAGAAAAAAGAGAGATTCGGAGAAAAAAATCTCAGTACATGTATCATCCAACAAATATGCTTGTTTCAAATTATTCTGTGTCATACTCTGTCGATTTGAATTTTAAATTATCATGGTTGTATGATAAAATTTGAAATCTTTTATTTTATAACTGCCAAATCAAAATAAATCATTCATTATTTTGTCATTGTTCTATCATACATCAATATATATTTTTAAAGATCTTTGAAAAATTAAATTTCAACCTAATCGTTGAATGCTATGATCTACTAGTATGATTTACAATACGATTTTTTTCTTGGTTCATAATTAAAATTTTGTATACGCGTTTTTAAACGTTAAGAATGATTATACGATACCAATTAATATATCGGTTAAATTTTTAGCCTCAATTATATGTACAATAAGTTTCCATGGAATATTAATTTTCGTTAAATCAATAAATATTACTATGTCTTTTATTTCCTAACCAAAAACTAAATGGCATATTTTTTATATTTCAAGAAAATGAATGAAATATTTGGTAAAACACCGGAGCTTCTGGGCCCTCACCGTTCTCTGCATACATATCATTTCTATTCTGGCTACGTGCCTGATCCCCTGTTAGTCCTATGTATTGATCCGGTAGACGGAAGATTCCGAAGTCAAATTTAGTATAAGAACAACTTAAACAAGGTTTAACAATTAATATGAATATGACCTACGACAGGTTTTATTTGTTAATAAAATTATTATAATGACCACAGAATTTACGAAATGCATACTTTAAACGAGATTGTTGAAATCCAGTAACATCAACTTAGCTGTCAGTAGCCTGCCTTAGTTTAAAAATTGATCGTATTCTGAGCATGCTCTTGAGTATCGAATATGTTAGGAGACATAAACACCCTATGCAGATTATAGCGGAATATTACATATACTACATAAACGATGGAAAATCTGGAGTCATCTCGCATGTCATACAATTTAGCTGTTAGTTGGCCCTTATCGTCTGTAGTCAGTGAAACATCCAAATATGAAATATATGTGGCAGACTCTCTTTTATTTCAGGTTCACTTGGATATATCGAGTTGACATATGAATGGAAGTAGCTTTTGTTAATTGATAAAACGTCGTCGATGTATCTAAATGTCGAGTTGAAGGCTACAATAAGTGCTTTCTTCTCAATGACATGTAGATGTTTTTGAATAAATTCTGTTTCCCATGAATACAAAAAGCATTGAATAAATTCTGATTCATATGAATACAAAAGTATGTGAAGGAGCACAATTAATGTCCATCACATTTTGTCTCGGAAGACTACATAAATGTTGTCAATGAGAAACTCAAACATCCATTTAATATCAACTTCAGAGTACTCGTATGTGGAATCAGAGTGATTTTTAAGAGAGTAAGAGATTGACCAATCACAAAATACGAAAATATCCGACTTTCATTTTTATTGAAGAAGCAGTTGCCTATCATTTCAAAAGGCCTAGGTTTTAATTTTGATGTTACTGACTTTTGAAAAATTTGGCGATTCTAAATTTTCTAAAAGTTCTTGAGGTTTTGAGAATCTACATCTGATTTACATCACTTCTAGAATATGCTGTAGTACAGTATGTCTGAAGTTTCTCCTTTACAGTTGCTAATATTTTTGTAAGGAATAAAGAAAAGGGCTTGGTAGAGCATTTGCTGGACCCGGCAATGTATCTCTGTTTGTAAGGATTTTTTGGAATGCAATATGTGATGAAGCCCTAACTGTTTATTGACGTAAGGAAAAAGTTGGGTTACAGTTATTTGTTTCTTCTATGGTTTTAAGATAACATTCAATGTTTAAATCAAATCTTGGATGTTTTTAAATTTAAGTTTCACCTTTTCTGTATTTAATTTTATCAATTTTTTTTAGATGTTTGCAGTTTAATGCTTGTCATGTTTTTTTGTGTTTCAGTATATTTCTCCTGAAATTCTAACCCCCATTAAAGGGATAGAGTGATCAGACGAATTGAAATGTTTATGAAGATGTTGATGGCCCCCTTATTTATTTCATACCTGTGCTCCGATATTCTTTTGTAGAGTAAACCTTTGTTTCCATACTATAAATAAATTTGCACAGAGTACATTTAATTCCATGAACAATGTTGGGAGTTTTACAAGTAAAATTTTTACCCGTTTTAGCATAAAACTTTGTCCAGTGATGTTGCTAGTAAACAAAGTATTTGTTATCAAAATCACACAAGTTTTACTGTAACAATATCTAGTAGATGTAATTATTTACAGTCCCTGAAACGTTCTACTTTCCCATTTTTCCGTTCGCTCACCGTTCGTTCACCGTTCGTTCACCGTGCGTTCACCGTTCGTTCACCGTGCGTTCACCGTTCGCTCTCCGTTCACAGTTTTGCGTTCACCGTGCGCTCGCGTTCACCGTTCACAAAGCGTTCAGCGTTCGCTCTTCGTTCCGTTCACTTTGCGTTCACCTTGCGTTCAGCGTTCACCTATCGTTCAGTTGTCATTGCCATTCGGAACTCCCAAGTGAAAGGACTTACCTTTTTGTAGGTAAGGAGTTACAGATTTTTTAATTTAATACTAACATATCGTGTTTGAAGAATCATTATTTCATTGGGGAAAAATCTAAGCTATATATTTTTATTATTCTAACTTAGCTATTAGGTTATTTATTAAATTACTCTGGAAAAAAAATGTTGTTATAAGCACATCCTGTACCTATGTAGAACGATGCTGAAATATTAAATTTAACTAAGGCCAATGTGCAAATACTTCAAGCACTGCAACATTTTGATGTTTTGTTAAAGACGACAAATCGTTAATGGAGATATAATTATCCAAGTCAAATAATTACGCAGCAAAATTACGAAAATATTTATTTCTAACGCGTTTTTTTTATTCAATTACTACAGAAAATATGATAGAACTAGTTCTGAGAGTTATACATACTGCGGATATCCTGTAAATTTATTATCTTTGGAGCGAATTAAATTGATAGTGTGTTTAAAGGAAATATTTATTTAAAATGTAATGCACTACAGAATATTCGCTACTATAATACATGTATGTAAAGTCTATAGTTACAGAGAAAAAATCTTTCTTCACCGTAACTTTATATGTTTGCAATTCGATATAATTAATACCCCCCCCTTTTCCCCTAAATCTGTTACTTAGTCAGTACTGTATTTCCAGAAAATTTTAATTAACCTGTTAAAAAAAAGTTAGGGTCTTTTTTAGAACAAAAATTTCAGTCTCAAAACAAACATGCATCTAAAAAAGTCACAAAACAATAGTAGTTCAAAATGTACACGTGTCGGCGGTGGTATTTGAAATTGGCAGAGAGTATATTTCAAATTCAAGTGTTAATGCCCAATATATTTTATTCACTAATTATTCAAATGTTTGTATCAAATCTATAAATGATAAAAATAAATGTTATAACTTGTTGGAAATACTCGCACTTCGTCTTCGATGTGACGAAACTTTCACACCTGCACAGTGTCGAATGATTTTGATTGACAGGACAAGCACGTGGACTTCGTGTGAACTTGAAGCAGGAAAATAAAAACGAGTAATACTGTCAAACAGATGGATATGATTTGTTGATAAAAAAAAAAAGTTACTTTCACTGTCTAATATATTTAGAAAAAAATATCAGAGTTATTGTTTGATATAGGTGCAAACATTTAGTGAAGCCTAAAAGGAAAGGGGGGGGGGGCTGAAACGGAATATCTCTCTCTCTCTCTCTCTCTCATTTGTCTGTTTGATACAAATTATAACAGCATATTACTTAGATATCAAGTTCTGAAAATTGAATTTATAACAAATAATATGAATATGTATCTTTGTATTATCTTGTCTTAGTATAATCACGGCCATCTACAGATACATGTAGAAGTCGGCTCAATAAATCATCATGAAAAATAGAAATGACACATAATATATTATTGTATTAAACATTTAAAATACGAGCGTATAAATGCAAAACGTCCACTGACCTTTGTAATTAATTTTTTTTATTACTTTACATGAAATCGCCTTGACACGGAGATACATATATGAATGGATGTTACAATCGCTTAATTCATTCTATAAGTCAGAAGTTTTCTCTGATTTGTTATCAAATAAGAATAAACATTTTTATTTTCCAACTAAAAAAATATCTTTTATACTTCAGCGTTCGGCAACAATTGCAATGTTCTAATGCGTTAAAAATCATGTGATTAAAAACTTAATGTGCATGAATCGTCTTTCTTAGGACAATTTTGGAGAATTTATTTTATTTACTTATTTATTCATTCATTTATTGGTTTACTTATTTATTTATTTATTTTTTTTTTTTTTTTTGGCACCTGACATTATAATACAATAAAATAGTTTCAATGCAAGGAAAAGATCAGAGGCATTCCGAATATATCGTTCATCTTGCGTTCACCGTTCGTTCACCGTTCACTTTGCGTTCGCGTTTGCGCTCCGTTCGCGTTCTGCGTTCGCTCACCGTTCACCGTTCACACATCGTTCACCAAGTTGCGTTCAGCGTTCACACATCGTTCACTCACCGTTCGCTCTGCGTTCGTTCACCGTTCGCTCACCGTTCAAGTGGGAAAGTAGAACGTTTCAGGGACTGTACCTTTTTATCAAGGGAGGTTGTACAGGTATAGAATTGTGATTTTTAGTTGTGGATGGTAGTTCTCTTTCATTCATATACTAGTATTTAATTTTACACTTTGCTGTTTATCAATAACACTGGAAATCTCTAATTTGTAAGTAACATATCCTGATGTAGTCATAATTTTTCATGTCATTTCATCAACCTGATCAATTCTTTGTTTGATAATTTATTGCTTGATTACTTGCAAAAAAGTTTCACTTGACTTTTTTTTTTACAGAATCATGGCCAATGGACTTTCGATTTATCGTTTCAAGAACTCTGTTGCAAGATACAAAATGCTCACACATAAACAAGAAATTGTTAACACTAAAAGGTTCGAGAGACGTTTTTGTCGTTTATATATATATACATATAATATATATATATATATATATATATATACGAGGGTTGTCCGGTAAAATCGTGGACAAACGTTTTTCTTGAAAAATAATGGGCGCACTAAGCTGAAATTTTCAGCAAATGTTTATTCATCATAATTAAGTGCATCTCGATTTTTTGATAAAATATAGGCAAAAATAAAAATTTTATTATGCTTAATTGTGCACAGGGTATGGTCCTACGGCGCACGATCAAAAAACCAGGGTTTCATTGGCGAATACACGAGTATCATTTCGAAATAAAAGTATTAAATAGATATGGTTGGAGTAAAAATTATCCTATTTTTATTCTACTATCTATTTTTCCGTCTTATGTATAATATCAAGGCATTTGCTAAATTTTTGGTAGTTTCCCGAACATTTGAAATGGGAAAGAGGTAAACGCAACACACGAAAAATGGCGACGTTTGATGACGTTACGGCGCACCGGGGAGCATTTCAGTTTGATTTCGATATAGTAATGACGCCTTAAGAAATTTTAAATGACTACAGAAAAAAAAAATATCACTAGATCTTAAGTATACAAGTGAAATGGGAGTTTTCTAAGCGGAAACTTTTTGATCGGGTCCTCGGGTAGAACAATACATACGAACAAACAGCTACTGGCAATATCAAAAGACGCTGTAACTGTAGACCGTCGATATAAGATTTATTTACTAAGTAGTTGAATGATAGTGAGAGAACTGTCCATAACTTACTAATAAACCTTAAAAGGTCCCATTTGTGTGTGAGATTGGTTCCTCGATTGCTTATGGAGGAATAAAGGGGAAATAAAGTATGTGCATCAATGATACACCCGGATTGAAGTGGGGCTTATCCAATTTTTATTTAGCAAAGAGGAAACGTGACGCTGCTTTAGACACTTTGACGTTATCATCCGTACGCCTTAAGGCGATACCACACATAACATAAAGTCTCATATTTTGTTTATTTGAGCAGATATTTATTTGAAATTTGCTATGTTTATATATAAAAAGTAGTTAAAGTTTTAGAACGCAGTGATAATTATTTTTCAATATAGACAACTTGTCCACGGACAACCCTCATATATATATATATATATATATATATATATATATATATATATATATAGGTTTGTTCCATTTTAAAAGGTTTTATATTATTGGGGGGGGGGGGGGGTTCTTGTTTTGTTTCTTACTTATTTAATTCTGTATCTGTTGTAGGTATACCCTTCTTGAAGACAGTCATTCCCGTTACAAAGTAGATGGGTTGTCATCGTTGACCTACACTGACCTTAAAACAACAGAATATAGTTTATTTACAAGGGTTTCTGTTATTTTATGAAAAGTAAAAGTTATGGAATGCCACTCTTATATCAATGGATAATTAGTTTTTGATATCTTCTGACTTCCATGGGTTTTTTTTTCAAATTTTAAAATTAAAGGTTTAAACGATATCAAAAGTATGATTGTATCATTTTATCCGTCAAAAATTATTCATGCACATTTTATACTTAAAATAAAATTTGTATCTGTGTGACCTTACAGCTCTTTCATAATACATCTACAACCGTAAGTAATATTGTCTTGAACGATGCCCGATGAGAGTTCATGATATGCATGAAAACCTGCAAGATTAACTCTTTGGGACATTCTTAAAGACGGTGAATTGATTATAAATACATTTTCGACAAATGAGTATTGCCAAAACTTATTTTCATCTTTACTTCAATTTTGCAAATACAATATTTCTACAGAGTGAATAAGACGTTTCATCATACTGAAAATGTAAAACTCTTTTTAGATCGAACAAAATTACAACTTATTTAAGGTTACAGTAGGAATCTCTCTTAGTCCTAGAAATCTTTTACAACCAGCTGAAGTCACAGACAAGACTGTAGCTCTTAACAAGGGAAGAGGAAATTAGCACTTTGACTTTAAGCTATGGCAACAACAATAAATAAAATAATGATCCCTGCCTTAATTTTTTTGTGGCATGTTAAGTGCAAATGGACAGAAATTATAGCAGGGGTAACCTTTTGAAAGAATTTCAAACAAAAATATTCTCTTTTTGGTAACCCTAGTCACACCTGTTAAATTAAAAAAAACCCTGACAAACAGGATTATGAAACTTAGTGAAGTCTACTTGTTTACCATGTCTTATTTAAATCAGACCAAAACCGTAGGAGGAGTAGTATTTGGAAATATATTCAACACACCCACAGATATATATATATATATATATATATATATATATATATATATATATATATATATATATATATATATATATATATACAAAAATTTTTAAGGGGTGGCTGGCTTTCATCCAGAGCGTCTTGCCATGGACTGTATCTGGAATAAAACTGTCAATTTAGCAGGTGGTCCTGGTAGAAATTTAGAATGTGATAGCGTAAACGGTTCTTGAACAAGGAGTTTCAAGGGATTTGAAAACATTAGTTCTTACTCTTTTTTTGAAAACACACACACACACACACACACACACACACCCACACATATATATATATATATATATATATATATATAATTTATTTATTTATTCTTAGTTAAAGCATGAATATATAATATCAACAGGTAATTTAAGGATATAAGATTCTCAGCCAGGAAGGATAACTCTTAAATTCATTATTTTATTTAAAAAGTCTCAAAATGAAGCTCAAAATTGAGATCTTTTCATGCAACAAGGCCATCATTAAAAATATCTTTGTTTCCCCTAACCCGACCCAAAAATCTCAAGTTGGGTAGGTAGGTAGGAAAATAATTTTTTTGACAGCAGCTTTGAAAATACATTTTTAAAATTAAATGGAATAATACCTTTATAAATTAGTTAAGTACAAAAGGAAGCGATTTGTAAACAGCTAGAATACCATACAATCCATGAATACCCATGAATAAAAGGCATGAAGAAAGGACGTTTGAATTCTATTCATTAGGGTGAAATATGCAGACTTATTTACAACTCTTATGGTCCCATATACATGTAGTAAACATAGGAATATTGATGAACTGTTTATAAGATCAGAACTCAAATTAAATAAAATGCAGTGAAATTGATACGTTTGTTCACAAGGTGGGCCCTTTGTCTGCTCATGAGGGGTATGATGAGGACGGCCTACGGGCCTAAGCATGATCTCTACGTACTTAATTTTAAGACAGTTTGGTAAATACAACCAAAACATGCTTAATAGGACATTGTATATTTTATTTTATTAACAAAGTGTTTCAAGAGTGTAGGATTCTTATATGCTAAAGGCATAAGGTTGTCTTTCTTTTAAAACATGAACTAACCCTCCATGACATGCTGTGGGCGCCATTTTGTTTCCAGCAAACGCTTGAAAATCACAGAACAAAATCAGTCGTTCTGATAAAAACGGATTTTGTTGAAATTCTATTTTATAAAAGTTGATAAACATAAAAAAAAAATGTTGGAATAATCTTATGAAAAAAAACTTTTCAGTCGGCGCGTTTTAATAGGGTCGGTCGCGTTAGGGGAAACAAAGGTACACTGTATTTTTTCATTTTGGCCCAATTTTCATTTTATGAATCTTAATATGATTCAAGGTTCTTTGAAATCTAAGAAATGTTTTTTTTTTTTAAGTTGACATTTGTACGTACCCCATAAAAGAATAAAAATGAATTCATTTTTAGACAAATCGAATTTCCTTTAGTCTAGCATTAGATACCACTGCTTATAAGCATGATATTAAATTAGATGTGATATGTGATGTCTAGCAATGATTGCACAAGCTTTTTACACTATGTATTATATGACAATTGAAGTAAAAAGAAGTACTGATACTGTATAAGTAAAAAAAATGCAATTTTCTCCAAATGCCTGGATTCCTAATATATTTTCGATCCTAAATTATATTTGTTGATCAATTTTCAATTGGAAAATGCATAGATGGTGTTTTTATTCGTATTTCCTGAAAATATATTTGAGATTTGATAATTTTCCCTATATAATATGATTAGCCTATCTTGTCCTTTAAAAAAAGGATCGTACGGGATTTGAACCCGGTACCTCTCACTTACTAAGCAAGAATCATACCCCTAGACCACGGAGGCACTTGATTATACAGCATATTAAATGCAATCATTAGGTCACATTTAATGTTTATATTCACATTTAATATTGTCAAAAATTTACACAATACATGGTGTCTAAATTAGCGTTTACTAAACAGTTCTAACAGACGTAATTAGAATATAAAGTCCGCCGACAACCTGTATAATACGTAATAACTCTCCACATGTCTCTGTGCTAAAAACAGTGCCAAGCGACTTTTAATAAAATAAATAAAAAAATGGGGCGGGACATTTTGAGAGGGGCGAAAGAGGTCATAGGGGAGTTATGGTATAAAATTTCATTGCAAAAGCTTCTTAAGATATCGCCCGGAAACGACAGACGGAATGTATGAATTAACGACCTTGAACCTTGACCTTTTGACCTCAAAATCAATAGGGGTCTTTTTTAGGCCACAGGGAGTTATGTAAAATTTCATTGCAAAAGCCCAAAGGATTCCCGAGATATCGCGCGGAAACGATAGTGTTAAACCAGACAGAATTTATAACCTTGACCTTTTGACCTCAAAATCAATATGGTTCTTTATTAGGCCATAGGGAGTTGCTATGCAAAATTTCATTGCGAAAGCTCAAAGGGTTCTCGAGATATCGCGCGGAGACGAAAGTGTTACAGACAGACAGAAATACAGACGGACGGACAGACAGACCCAAATTAATATCCCCCACTTTCAGTGAAAGCGGGGGACAAAAAGGATTCTCGAGATATCTGGCGGAAACGAAAGTGTTAAAATAGACAGAATTTATGACTTCAGGGGTGTGCAATTAGCATCGCCCGACGCCCGGGGCTACCATTTTTTGGGGTCGGGCTAGTAGTTTTCTGCACGGAGGTAGCCCCTTGGGCTAGTAAAATTTGAAACTACCAATGTAATAATACATGAAAATCACTATCGGTATTTTCACTCATTTTTTGCTATTAAATTCTCAAGCAATGAAAAATTTTCGGCAGCATGCTCCTATTTTTCGTAATTCTCCATAATCTTATCCATTTTGCAGTACCACTTGACTTATTTACTTCCAAAAACGATCCCACACACACATCTGGGCTAGTAACTTTTTACTTTGGGCTAGTAACTTTATTGCTGCCACTAGCCCGTGGGTTAGTGCTTAATTTTTTTAATTGCACACCCCTGGACTTTGACCTTTTGACCTCAAAATCAATAGGGTTCTTCTTTAGGCCATAGGGAGTTGCTATGCAAAATTTCATTGCAAAAGCTCAAAGGGTTCTCGCGATATCGCGCGGAAACGAAAGTGTTACACAGACAGACAGAAATACAGACGGAGAGCTGGACGGACGGACAGACAAACCCAAATTAATATCCCCCACTTTCAGTGAAAGTAGGGGACAAAAAGCTGATTTCAGAACCTGAGGATCGGACTACCTTAACAACTACCGTCAATTACCATTTATTGATTACCATACCTGCTAACGGTCTGTGTCCAAGTAAGACATATTTCGGATGATGGTTGTTAAGGAAAAGGATCATATCCAGTCTCCAATGGGACATCATGGCAGTTCCATCATTTTCTCGGATAGCACTATGACGGACAAGATCCATCAGTCCTACAAACATCAGTGCTGTCATGTAATTGAATACACCATCCTCCTTTGTATCAGCTTTCAAATTCTTAGAACATGCTCTCCTACATTCTTTGCTGCAGAACCATTTATCAGCTGTAAGAGAATTTTCGACAGTCAAGTCAAACTGCACAGCATGCAGCTTGTAATGTGTCTAAAAACACATTAATTTGAAACAAATACTAAGTAGCTATAAACAGTTAATAACCTGGTGCATTTTTCAATCCGACACATTTCAAGTGCAACCACTCATTCTTGTATTGCGGATTGTCTTAACTCATCATCGGCTCATACTATCCTAGGTCCACATGGCAGTTGCAGTATTTAAAAACAGCGTGTTTCCTACAATCATCAGAGCAGTAAAACTCTTCATCAGGAACATCGTCATCCTCCATGCGCAAACACTGTAGATGAAACCAATGATTCCCTGGACAATGAGTACCTGAGCAGAAGATCATTGGAACATCATCTCCAAGAACTATAAAAAAAATGGGAAAAAATCTAGTTCATTGAAAAATTTGAGAGAGAGAGAGAGGATATAGAGTAAGTACCTACATGTTTTATAAAGGCAGTATATATAAATGTCTTCTTGATCCGCATCGCTGCCAGGGATTTTTTTTCAACTCTAGGATTCTGCCTGATGTGCCTTAAAAAAGTCTGCTGCATGATTAAACGTTTCTCCGACATCTCTCTTTACTGACCTATGCCCAAAAACATTTTTGAGGTGGAAAAACGTTCCCATCTCAGCAGCACTGG